TCCACTGAGCTAATTGTGTGGTTGTTGCCTCTGATATCTGGCACTCTAATTGTCAGGATAATAAATGGAATACATGGTTTTGCATTCTTTTGTGGTATCTGCTTCAACAGTTTATTCAACTTTTAGGACAATACAGTGTGGTATCGAGAAAAAAGAAGATCACAAGCTATCCAATGTTTTGCAACTGGCCAATCGGCATGAAGTTAAGTGATTTTTATTTTTTAGAGTAACATTTCTTATAGATTTTAGATCTGTTGTAGCTGCTACTTTCACCATTCGGTCCAGGACTATTACTGCTGAATAAAATTCAGGTGTCACAGCTTGAACTGTTTTCAAGTTGAAGTAAATAAGATTAGGCTACTGTTGCTATATTTAAGCAAAGCTAAATGTAAAGGTTAAAAAATAAATTATGCATCAAACAAATGTGATGGCAGAATACCGAGTCACTGATGCTGTCCATGAGAATTATACTGTTCTGCAACTGTAACTGCAATCAAACTACAACCTAATGCATTGTATGTGGTTGCAGCACAGTGATGCTGCATTTAAGTGGTTAAAACATATCACCTCTTCACAGCCTGTCAAATGCCTCTGAAAAGGGATCTGATCATAAATTACTTTTCAGAGGAGTGGCAGTCCTTGCCACTATTATGAAAAGACACACACACACACATACTGTACATACATACAGTACATACATACACACATCCTTTTTAAATAATGCCATATTGTACCTGCATTCGCACCTTGTACTGCACTGCCAGAAGCTGCCCTGTAGGGGTAGACAGAGAGCACAGGACTGAAGAAGCCACCTCCCCCTTCCACTGCTTTCAATTCCCTGTTCTCACTGAGTTCCTGCTGTGTGGATGTACAGTTCCACGGATGATGAAGAGCTTAGTCTGGTCTGACAGCCTTTTTCAATCAGAATGCCGCGGCAACCCTGATGACCTCAGGTGGCACCTCAGGGTGCCCTGGCACCTCATTTGAATAAGCCTGGTCTATATACCCATCACCATTTGTCAGCACTCATGTGATTAGTAACTTAGTTTTGTAACATAGTTGTAACATAGAGATGGGATTTGGTTTTGATGCTGCCATGGGTTTGAGGTGAATCCTGTGTGTTTGAGGTCCAAAATCCTGGCAATTTTTTTGTTTCTTTTATTTCACATTTATGCACAAGACAGTAATCCAGCACAGCAGGGTATGATATAGCAAGGGTGCAGTTCAGCACACAAGGCAGGGATCCTGGCAAAGCTGGTGTTAGATGACGCACAAGCTTACATCGATCTCAGCCAAAGGGGTCCAGGTAGGGTGGCAGGGAAGGTCCAGGGGACAGAGAGCACAAGTCCTTCCCAGGCCATTCACAGGCTCTTAGAGGTAAGTGTGTCTTGGCCACAGCTTTAAGACCACACAGACAGCCATTGTGAGAAGAGTAGAGACATGGCAAAGAGAAATAGTCCATGGATTAGCATTGTAGAACCTCAGGGTGAAGTAGTTCATGTGGGCAGCGGTCCTAAACCCCCTTCTAGTCTCCTTCAAATGGGACCTCCAGACATGGTTCCTCTGTGTCCATCACTGAAGTAAGCTCTCCACAGTCTGACCCTCTCCTTTTCTTATCCTTCACTTTTAACCCAACCAGACACCTCACTGTGATGAGGCATCTGCCTCTATCCTGAAGCAGGATACAATAATATTTATGCACTTCTTACAGAGTGCAGCCTCATATCCTACCCCCTGAGGGGACACAGGACCTCACCAACTAAATTATGTAGATAAGTTGACTTTGTTACACACTGCATCTGGATTAGAGATTGTCAATTTCTTAAAACAAAATAAAAATAAAAATCCAATATTTCTGACCTCCACTACACATATCCGCTACTTAATGGCCATGTAAGGTTTATTGCCTCTGTGTAACATCCTCTGTAATTTTGTTTGAGACAAGCAGTGTATTAGTTGGGGTCATGTGCACTACCTTATGCACAGTACAAGTCCCATTTTTCATACTCCATAGCCCCCAGTCCATCTCAGGAGTGAGCAAGAAAAGGTGGCTACGATCAGGCCTAGACTGGCCATACGGCACACCAGGCAGTGTTTGCCAGTCTGTGGCCTGTTGATGACCAGTCCACACAGCGGGAGGTAAATTGTGACCGCGGTCCAGACAGGGCTAACACAGATTGCAGTCATGCTTGTCTCACCTCTCCCATTCTGCTGGGAGAGGAGCTGGAGTTCTGCACCAGATCTGACCCCTCCCCAGCTGATCCAGTCCTGATCCCCCTGGAGCAGTGCACAGATTGTACACAGAATTGAAGGATTGAAGAGTGAGGAGGGGGTGAGACCCAGACTGACAATCGGGGAAGAGCCTTCAGGGATTACACCGTGCCTGATCATTGGTTGCAGAGCGAGTATATGTGACCGGTGGAGACCCAGAAGTGGTAGAGGTACAGAGAGAGCCCCGGTTGCCCTGTGTGTGTGTATGAGAGAGAGAGAGATCTACTACAGAGATCCAAGAGAGAGGGAAAGATAGGAGAGAGATATGAGAGAGAGAGAGATAGGAGAGCAAGAGAAAATTAAAGAGCAATAGAAGGAGAGAGAGAGAAGGAGAGAGAGAACTATAACCCCTAGCAAAAGGTATGGAATCACCACTCTTGGAAAATGGTAATTCAATGTTTAATTGTGTAGAGAAAAAACTAATCACAGACATGCCTCAAAATTATTTTCATTTAACATTCCAACCTTTTGGCTTTAAGAAACACTTAAACAATTGAAAAGAAAAAAAAAACTGTAGTCAATTGCAACTGTTTTTGCAGATCTAGTAGAGGAAAACAATATAGAATCACTCAGTTCTGAGGAAAATATTATGGAATCATGAAAAAACACTACAGTACACCACTAGTACTTTGTTGCTGTCAGGAATAGACTGGCCAGCAATAGTGGGACTCACCTGCCTTATGAGCTGCAGTACCAGGGCTGGCCAGCGGGTGCTCCCAGCAATCAGAGACTCAACCTTGCAGCCAGTCAAACACCTGGAACTAATTATACTGGTGTATTTAAGGGACATTCAGACCTGCAGACTCTGCCTTGGTGTTGTGTTTCTCCTGGGCCCTGTTTCCTGTTCCTGTTCCTGTTCCTGTTCCTGTCCCTGTCCCTGTCCCTGTCCCTGTTCCTGTCTGATTCTCTGCTGACCCTGCTCTGATCCCTGGCTTGTCTGACCATTCTCCTGCTCCTGATCCCTGGCTTGTCTGACCATTCTCCTCTGCCTGACCCTCTGTACCACGCTGCCCGCTACCTGCTGAACCTGGCTTGTGACCCCGACCATTCTCCGCTTGCTCCCCCTGTACCTACCTGCCCGATTGATATTGACCCGGCCTGCCTGGCGACGCTTGCATTGTATGTACTGTTATCTGTGGGTGGTTGGTTTGGTTCGTTTGCACTGTGTTATGTTTTAGTATTGCACTGCGTTTATGTTTGTATTGTTAGTGTTAATAAATTACATTGTTTATAAACATATCTGAAGTCTGCGTTTCCCTGCGTCAGTCACACACCTCTGGTCACACCCGGGAGCCCTGACATTACACCAAGGCCAATCCTGACCAGAAGTGGCTGCACAGGGAAGCCATCTTGGCTTGTTGATGGGAAGGATGGATCTTGATGAGGTTGTGTATTTATATCTGCTAGTGTTTGATGACAGAGAGTATGCTTATCAAACTCTGAAGGAGTATCCCCGGGATCAACTACTAGAATGTATACGGCTCGCGCTCATGTTCTAGTAGATCAGGGCACAGAATTCTCTGAGGTGCAGCCATTGATTCAGATTTGTGCGGAGTTGGTTTCATCTGGTACCCCTGAATGCAGGGATGAATTTTTGCCGCCATTTAGTGCCGACCAGGTAGAGTCCCTGGTATGGTTATTAGAGGATGATGTGGATTGCTTCTTGGAGCATTATGCTGCATGTTCTCCACAGACACTAAGAGATTGTATAAACGCAGTGCAGTCTTTGGTCAGACAGGCTTTGTGTAAGCTGAGCTTTGTTCAACCCATACTGCAGACATGGACTGATTTGTTGCACCCAGCCTCAGTCAGCTTACAAAAACCCAGTCCTGCTTCTAATCTATTTCCTCAAAACTCTATTCCTGCATTCCCAACAGCTACTCCTGCCCTGCTATCTACCGCATGTCAGTACCCTGTTCCCACTCGCTGCACCTATCCTGCCTTTAACCCTGTAAAAAAGCCCTCTGTAGCAACTGCTCCCTTCCCTGTTCCATCCTCCAGCTCTTCTCTGTCTCCAGCTGCTCCATTCGTTTGCAGACCTGCGTTTACTTGCAGTGCTCCAGTAGTTAAAACCAGAAAAAAGCGAAAATTCTTTCCAACCAGTACCATCCTGCCAGTATCCAAACCGGTGAACCTGCCTTCCGTGGTTCAGCCTGAAGCCTCTACTCAGCCTGAAGCCTCTACTCAGCCTGAAGCCTCTACTCAGCCTGATGCCTGTACTCAGCCTGATGCCTGATGCCTGATACCTCTCAGCCTGATGCCTCTCTTCAGCCTGATGCCTCTACTTCAGCCTGATGCCTCTACTCAGCCTGATGCCTCTACTCAGCCTGAAGCCTCTACTCAGCCTGAAGCCTCTACTCAGCCTGATGCCTCTACTCAGCCTGATGCCTCTACTCAGCCTGATGCCTTTACTCAGCCGGATGCCTGCATTCAGCCTGATGCCTCTACCCAGCATGATGAACTGATCCAGCCTGACGATCCTATTAGGCCTGGTGACCCGATGCCTGCTGTCGAGCCAGACAATCCGGTACCTGATGACCCGTGCCCGCTGTCATGCCAGTTGACTCAGAGCCTGCTGTCGTGCCTGGTGACTCGGTGCCCACTGCCTTTCCAGATGACGCGGTGCCCGCTGGCGAGCTAAATGACCTGATGCCTGGTGACCCAGTGCCCGCTGTCATACCTGGTGACCCGATGCCCGCTGTCGAGCCAGACGATCCAATGCCTGGTGACCGGGTGCCCACTGCCTTGCCAGATGACGCGGTGCCCGCTGGCAAGCCAAATGACCTGATGCCTGGTGACCCAGTGCCCGCTGTCATACCTGGTGACCCGATGCCCGCTGTCGAGCCAGACAATCCGGTACCTGATGACCCGGTGCCCGCTGTCGTGCCAATTGAGTCAGAGTCCACTGTTGTGCCTGGTGATTCGGTGCCCGCAGTCTTGCCAGACGACTCGGTGCCCGCTGTTCCGCCAGTTGACTCGGTGCCCGCAGTCTTGCCAGACGACTCGGTGCCCGCAGTCTTGCCAGACGACTCGGTGCCCGCAGTCTTGCCAGACGACTCGGTGCCCGCTGTTCCGCCAGTTGACTCGATGCCCGCTGTTCCGCCAGACGACTCGGTGCCCGCAGTCTTGCCAGACGACTCGGTGCCCGCAGTCTTGCCAGACGACTCTGTGCCCGCAGTCTTGCCAGACGACTCAAAGCCCGCTGTTCCGCCAGTTGACTCGATGCCCGCTGTTCCGCCAGTTGACTCGGTGCCCGCAGTCTTGCCAGACGACTCGGTGCCCGCAGTCTTGCCAGACGACTCGGTGCCCGCAGTCTTGCCAGACGACTCGGTGCCCGCAGTCTTGCCAGACGACTCGGTGCCCGCAGTCTTGCCAGACGACTCGAAGCCCGCTGTTCCGCCAGTTGGCTCGGTGCCCGCAGTCTTGCCAGTTGACTCGGTGCCCACTGTCGTGCCTGGTGACTCGGTGCCCGCCGCTCCGCCTGGGGGCCCGAGACCTGTCCGCTCCGCCTGGGGGTCCGGCGCCCGCCGCTCCGCCTGGGGGCCCGATGCCTGTCGCCTCGCCTGGGGGCCCGATGCCTGTCGCCTCGCCTGGGGGCCCGATGCCTGTCGCCCCGCCTGGGGGCCCGATGCCTGTCGCCCCTCCTGGGGGCCCGATGCCTGTCGCCCCTCCTGGGGGCCCGATGCCCGTCGCCCCGCCTGGGGGCCCGATGCCTGTCGCCCCGCCCTGGGGGGCCCGATGCCTGTCGCCCCTCCTGGGGGCCCGGCGCCCGCCACTCCCTGGGGGCCCGATGCCTGTCGCGCCGGGGGGCCCGATGCCTGTCGCCCCCGCCTGGGGGCCCGATGCCTGTCACCCCCGCCCTGGGGGCCCGGTGCCCGCCGCTCCACTTGGGGGCCCGATGCCTGTCGCCCCGCCGGGGGGCCCGGTGCCCGCCCCCGCCTGGGGGCCCGGTGCCTGCTGCTCCGCCTGGGGGCCCGGTTCCTGCTGCTTTGCCCGGTGGCCCGCTGCCTGCTGCTCCGCCCGGTGGCCCGCTGCCTGCTGCTCCGCCCGGTGGCCCGCTGCCTGCTGCTCCGCCCGGTGGCCCGGTGCCTGCTGCTTCGCCTGGTAATCCGATGTGCCTCTGCCCGGAGTCCAGCCCGATGTGCCTCTGCCCGGAGTCCAGCCCGATGTGCCTCTGCCCGGAGTCCAGCCCGATGTGCCTCTGCCCGGAGTCCAGCCCGATGTGCCTCTGCCCGGAGTCCAGCCCGATGTGCCTCTGCCCGGAGTGCCTCTGCCCGGAGTGCCTCTGCCCGGTGTGCCGCTGCCCGGAGTGCCTCTGCCCGGAGTCCAGCCCGATGTGCCTCTGCCCGGAGTCCAGCCCGATGTGCCTCTGCCCGGAGTCCAGCCCGATGTGCCTCTGCCCGGAGTCCAGCCCAATGTGCCTCTGCCCGGTGTGCCGCTGCCCGGAGTCCTGCCCGGTGTGCCAGTCTTTGATATCCCGCCATTACCAGACCCGGGCGGTGGAACATTTTGCCCAGCTAGGACTGTTTGGAGTGTCCTGAGGCCGCTCCTTGAGGGGGGGTACTGTCAGGAATAGACTGGCCAGCAATAGTGGGACTCGCCTGCCTTATGAGCTGCAGTACCAGGGCTGGCCAGCGGGTGCTCCCAGCAATCAGAGACTCAACCTTGCAGCCAGTCAAACACCTGGAACTAATTATACTGGTGTATTTAAGGGACATTCAGACCTGCAGACTCTGCCTTGGTGTTGTGTTTCTCCTGGGCCCTGTTTCCTGTTCCTGTCCCTGTCTGATTCTCTGCTGACCCTGCTCTGATCCCTGGCTTGTCTGACCATTCTCCTGCTCCTGATCCCTGGCTTGTCTGACCATTCTCCTCTGCCTGACCCTCTGTACCACGCTGCCCGCTACCTGCTGAACCTGGCTTGTGACCCCGACCATTCTCCGCTTGCTCCCCCTGTACCTACCTGCCCGATTGATATTGACCGGCCTGCCTGACGACGCTTGCATTGTATGTACTGTTATCTGTGAGTGGTTGGTTTGGTTCGTTTGCACTGTGTTATGTTTTAGTATTGCACTGCGTTTATGTTTGTATTGTTAGTGTTAATAAATTACATTGTTTATAACATATCTGAAGTCTGCGTTTCCCTGCGTCAGTCACACACCTCTGGTCACACCCGGGAGCCCTGACAGTTGCACCACCTCTGACTTTTGACAGCTTGAATTCTCTGAGGCATGGATTTAACTATCGACAAACAGTATTCTTCATCAATCCGGTTCCAACTTTCTCTTACTGCAGCAGCAAAATAAGGAATTTGGAGATATGTAGCAGGCTGAGAGTAACTGAAGATACTTTTTAAGATAAGAATACATATGTGAATAGATTTGTTTTGTTTATCCAGAGTTTAGTGCCACTTTAAGCATAATGATAATGGAATGGTGTTTTCACTAAGAGAGCAGAGAAGGCAATGGGGGCATTTCATTATTCTATACAAAAATATGATATTGATACATACATATGTATATGTATGTATGTATATATATATATATATATATATATATATATATATATATATATATATATATATATTGCTCAGCATAAATGAGTACACCCCAACAGGTTTGTTATAGAAAATTTACTTTCCTATCAGAATCAATGTTTTCTATGAGACACTATACTACAAAATAATCCCACAAATGTGGGCCTTTGAATGCAATCAAAATTTGTTCATTTGGACACACAAAAAAGTATTTTTACTAACAAATTCATTCAAGATCATGTTGCAAAAATGAATATGCCCCAATGCAAATCTTAAGAGCAAAGCTAAATTTTAGACAACAAAATCTTCATTAACAAAAATTCAACTACAGGTGAGTCTAATTATTCATTAATTGAACACACAAAAAAGTATTTTTACTAACAAATTCATTCAAGAACAACTACAGGTGAGTCTAATTATTCATTAAACAATTGTCCAGCAGACAGGTGATTATAAAAGGGTGTTACTTAACAAAGAAAACCCCTTCCCATTTCATGCTGTCAGCAATGGCACCACATGGAAGAAAAACGTCACAAAACCTGAGAAAGAAAATAATTTCTTTACACAAGAAAGGCAAAGGCTACAAGAAGATCAGCAAAGCTTTACTTATCAGTCAAAATACGATAGCAAAAGTGATACAAAAATATAACAAAGATGGAACTGTAACCATCTCACACAGATGTCCAGGCCATCCATGGAAGTTAACACCTCGACAGGAGCGTCTTCTGGTGAGAAGGGTTGAAGAAAATCGCCGTGCAAGTTCACTGCAGTTAGCTAAATAAGTAGAAAGCCAAACTGGGGTTATTGTTTCCTGTGACACAATACACTGCAGAGGAATGGCATGCATGGGTGTCATCCATGAAGGAAGCTTCTCCTAAAGCCCATGCACAAAAAAGCCCACCCAGAATTTGCCAGGGTGCATGTTGAAAAAGGAAGACTACTGGGACTCTGTACTTGGAGTGATGAACAAAATAAATGTTTTTGAAACTGATTGCTTCAAAACTGTATGGCGTTGCATAGGTGTGGAGTACAAAGAAAAATACATGGTGCCTACAGTGAAACATGGTGGTAGCAGTGTCCTTCTGTGGGGCTGCATGAGTGCTGCTGGTGTCGGGGAGCTGCATTTAATTGATGGTATCATGAATTCATAGATGTACTGCTCTATACTGCTCTATATTGAAAGAGAATTGAAAAGAAGATACCATCACTCCGTGCCCTTGATCATTGATCAGTTTTACAACATGACGATGAACCAAAACACACATCTAAGGACACTGTTGCATTTCTGAAGAAGAACAGAGTGAAAGTGATTCAGTGGCCAAGTATGTCTCCTGATCTGAAACCACTCGAAACACCTATGGGGAATTCTGAAGAGACAAGTTGAGCATCACTCTCCATCTAGCATTCAGGCTCTAAAAGAGGTCATTCCATGCCTAGAATATTTATTTATTGCTGTCCTTACAAATCACAGGTCACACAAAATACTAGATGTAGCAGTTTTTGTTGTGGGGTGTATTCATTTTGCATTAACTAATTTGAGCAAAACTGAAGAATTTTTAATCTAAGTTATATTATTAACCTTACTTACTTTCATATAATGAGCTAAACAAACGTTCTATAAAACTCAGTTTTGTCAAAATTTTGGAAATTGTTCTTGTGTTCATTGAGATATTGATTAAAATCTTAGTTTTCAAAAGGGGTGTACTCATTTATGCTGAGCACTGTAATAATAAATACATATATATATATATATATATATATATATATATATACACTGTGTGTGTGTGTATATATATATATATATATATATATATACATACAGTATATATATGTGTATATAGTGTTCAGCATAGATGAGGCACTTCCTGGCAGGGTTGTGGACACTGTATATGTATATTACCTAGGTTTCCTACCTAAACATGGCGATATTGATTAAAATCTTAGTTTTCAAAAGGGGTGTTCAACGTTCAGAGCACATTTTATGCCCAATACTCATTTATGCTGAGCACTGTAATAATAAATATATATATATATATATATATATATATATATATATATATATATATATATATATATATATATACTGTGTGTGTATGTATGTGTATATATATATATATATCTATATATATATCATACAGTATGTATATATATATATATATATATGTGTATATAGTGTTCAGCATAGATGAGGCACTTCCTGGCAGGGTTGTGGGCACTGTATATGTATATTACCTAGGTTTCCTACCTAAACATGGCGAGTGTCTAGGATTTTTGTCTAGTATGGATAAAACATAGATGTTAATAAGTTCTTGTCAGAGTCCTGGAGTCTGGAGGCTTTGTAGAGCTCTAAGTGGGATAAAGCCTTCATCCCTAGGCCCATATCTTAGCTGTAAGCCAGACATTTTAATTAGTCTCATCCATGCCTTTTTATGTTTGAGCTGACTGATGCTGCAGATGATGAATTTATCTTATTCTGCTGCTTTGTGAAATGGCTGACTGTGAAAGAATGCTAAAAATGATGGTGTGCTGCCAGTTTTGTTTGGGAAACACATTAGAGGGCATTCTTTTAGTCAGAAACTG